AGATTTTTCAAACTTTTGCTCATGACTAGACGTGTGTTGTCACCTGTGGGGCAGTAGAGGGCAGTGTGGAGCTGTCGGCCTGAGTGGGTCGGTCCGGAGACACCGAACCAGCCGCCGACTGCTGACCTTCGTCCAGAGTCGGAGGCTGGACGGGGGGCGGAGCCACGGCGGCGTCCACAGCTTCGGTCTGCGGCTGCAGAGTGATGGTCCACTCGCACTCGTCGTCCAGGTCGACGTCTGTGCCCTGAACCGGGTCTGCAGGACAGAACAACACTGAACAAAAGACGTGTGTTCAGTCTGGTTTATCTGAGCAGAAACGTTCTATCAGTGCTGATTCTCACAGCCTGATCCAGTGTTCTAAAAAAGAATCACTGCTTTCATTTCTAACAAACAGTTTTCAAACTAACACTAATATTCAGAGTGAGCGCAGCACTTTACAGCTAAAACATCAACTGAGGAGTGATCTCTGGAAAGGAGCTACTGCACAAGTTCATTAAATATCGGTAGTTAACGGACAATTGATTCAGAAAGTTGTTTCAAATTTGCATCTACAAAAGTAAAACAAGACGCGAAATGACAAAAGCCCGACACGAAACAAAGGAAAGAAGACGAACCCACTGCAAAGAGACACAAAGACGCTTAAGACACACAAAACAAGACAAATGAAACCAAAAAAATGACCAAAATGAGAAACAAATATACAAAACACGACAAAAAAGAAAGAAACAGACATAAATTAGGTACGAAGCTGCTGAAAGGAGACAAAAGTGTGATAAAAAAAAAGACACAAAAGAAAAAATTAGCCAAAAAATGACCAAAACAAGAAACAAAACTTTAAAAATTAGACAGAAATCGACCCAAACGAGACACAAAGTGACATAAATGAGACACAAAGCAGCTGAGAAAAGATGAATCTGGTCCAAAGAGACACAAAGACGCAGACAAAATGAAAAGCAAGAAAGACGAGACACAAAACAGAGAAGCTGCTCGTGTAATCGTCCCACGTTGGCCTGAAATCTGTGGCGAGGACAGATCATGTCAGCAGGAGCTGGTTACCTGTGCTGCTGTCCAGAGACTCTACAGGTGTGCTGACGGTCAGCGACACCGGCAGCAGCAGCTCAGGTGAGTCAGAACTGACCACGTCTGAAGGACAGCAGACTCTGACCGCTCGTCTGCTCGCGCTCTGTGAAGAGGTGCATTCTGGGACTGCAAACAAGAAAGAAAGACATCTCATCTCAGACACTGACGACATATTTTCTATTCTGAAGACCAATTAATTAGAAATGCGTCCTCTGCTGGAACTGTTCAGGTATCTAGCCGAGCTAACGCAGCTACAGTTAGCTTAGCCACCTAGCCACGCTGTTTAGTCAGTAATAGATCATACATTCGAGTTTATTTATTTGTTTGTTAGTTTGACAAGTTTTGCAAAATATTTGATTGGCTCAATTTGGAGAATTTAATCTGTTTTCAGACCCTAAAAAAAAACCTGTGAAGTCATGTTAGGTGCTGAATATCTGCAGAAATAAAACTCCAGCAGTCGTGAAATGTGGTGAGAATTCAGACTGAAGAGTTTCCATCAGACCAGGATGATCGAATGGATCCAGCAGAAGACAAATGTTTAATTATTGGAGCTTGAAAATGGACAAAAGTGCACATGTTTCTAAACCAGGGTGGTGTTGGGGCCCCACAAAGTTCCTGTAAGTGTATAAATATGGATGGATTCATGTTTTCTACTAAAAACACAGTCTTTGGTCGACATTTCACCGACTGCTGAGAGCTCAGTCAGCTCGGTGTCGGCGGTCTGTTCAGTCCTCACCTTGGTTACTTCTCGCCGTTGCTCCCTCAGTGGTCCTGGTCTGAGCAGAGCAGGACATGGAGGCCTCGGCAGCCGAGACGCCCGTCAGGCCTCTGTGGATGCGGGTGAAGGCTGGCGGGTGGATGCGGACCAGCGTGGAGGCCGAGGCCCTCTGCTGCAGCTCCTCCTCCACGCCCTGCCGGTAGTACTTCAGCTTCAGCTCGGTGTAGCGCAGCTTGGCCCGGATGTTGTCGTTCTCCTTCTCCTTCAGGGCCTTCTCCCTCTGCAGCGCCACGATGTCCTTCTTCATCAGCACCAGCTGGGCCTTCAGCTCCTCAAACTTCACCCCGACCACTTTGAGCATCTCGGCCAGCACCGTCTCCACGGCGACGTTCACCGCCCGCTCCACCACGGTGCCCATCTGGCCTCGGATCAGCGACACGGCGATGCTGACGTCCATGTTGGTCCTGATGCTGCTGGAGATGGTTCTTCACAGCTTCACCTGCAGCCACAAAAACAGTCTGATCGTTCGTCTCTTACGTCACTAAATCCAACCAGAACCTTTGTAAAGCGTCCTAAATGTTAAAACTATAAAAACAGAAAGACATTTTTGATATTCAACTTTCCAACGGTCCTTGAACTACACATCTGGGACGTGCTGCTGTAACAGAAAACTCAACCAAACCGAGGAAGAAACCTACTGAATTCTGCGTTTCATTTAAAATTTGTCTAAATAAACCATTTGCACCAGATTTTGTAAAAAAAAAAAAGAAAAAAGAAAATTCGGAGCTCCTTTGAGCAACTGTGAAGCCTCGACTGACTCGTCTGAGACCAAAAGTCACGAGACAAAAAGTTTTCAGCTGAACTGCTGCTGAACAAGAGACGATGACGGAAATGAATTAAAAATGTAAAAAGCTAAATGCCTACTGTATGTGGAGTCTTTATTAACATCTGTGGACACTTGTTGGACATTTTGATTCCAGTTTGTTTTTAACATTTTTGCAAATTAAAAAAAAAAATCTAAAATTGTATTTGTGTCAGTCTTATTGTGTTGTGCTGCACAAAAATGAGCCCACAGGGAGGAAAAATGTGAGAAGAGCAAATAAAAAACTGATTTCAGAGAGTTAAATAACAACAGAACATAAATACAACAATACAGAAAAAGGAAGGACTCTAGTGAGAGCTGTGGTGCCGCCGGGAATGAAGCTTTGAAGTTAGTCCTGAGACCAAACTGTACGATCATCTAATACGACTGCATTCTGCAGTGATCTAGGCCAGTATTCTGAGTCATGTTTGCAAAAGGTTTGTCTGCTATCTGAACATCTAAACTGTATTTGTTTTTAGACCTAGCCCATTATGATTGGCATAAAATATCTATATGTCTATAGTGACCACGATGGCATCATTCCATGCTTGCAGCCTAAATCGTTATCTGACTAGATGAGATAAAACTTTATTAATCCCAAAGCAAATTCTTGTGCAAGTTTGTGCTCAGAAGAAACAGATGACATAACATGAGGAACGCAGTCGTATGTAAGTACGACACGATACTGAAATATACGAGTGAGCTAAAATAAGGCAAGAACAGAACGGTTAAAAAAAAAATGCTGGCAATGATTCTGAGGTTACAGGTAATAAAACACACGATGAAATTAAATATTGCACCTGAAAAAAATAGATCAAAACTAAAACGAAGCATCTACAATTCCCTTTAACAGATGTTTCTATGCAAAGCGACGTACATCTGAGAGGAGAATACACACATTACATCAGCAATGTTGTACATGAAAGGAAAGTATTGCAGATTTAATCTAAATGTTCTGAAAGAAAATGAAATGTACACAGGATAATAAACTATTACACATTAAACTGAAATAATACACCTGATGAATGAGAACAAGAAATATTGCACAGTACCTAAGACACAAAACAATATCAATATTTGATCCCTTTATTCTCCTTTATTCTCATTTTGTCGTAGTTTTTAATTCTCCTTCTACAGAACAACAGAATGAAGTCACTTCTGCTCTCTTCTGGTTTGTTGTTGTCACCTTGACGGAACATTTTTTCATTAAAGTTTAATAAACTAAATAACTGAATGCATGTTCGCTTCTAGCTGTAATTAAACTGTAAATATGGACATAAACGCAGGTGTCTGAGTGAAGGAGGTTGACACTGAGGGACCTTCACATTCTTCCAGATGGTCAACTTCAGCTGACATCTTTTATATTTTAGATGCTAACAGCTCATCCAGCAGAGCAGCAGCAGACTAGCAGCTAGCTCAGCTAACAGCAGCGTGTTTCTGTAGCTGACAACCGAACCGATGAACATTAAACATGATTCAGTTTCAACAACTGTTCAGGCTCGTTGCTGCTGTTGTTGCTGTTGTTATTGTTTTAGCCGGTTAGCTGCTAGCTAACAGCTAGCTGCCCGTAGCTCCAAACAGCTGATTAAAACTGAACCGGTGGTTAGCCTGCTAGCTTAGCCTGACGTTAGCTGCCCTTTAAAGGGTGTTGAGTAAAATTTATTACCGTTGGCGCAAAGTTTGTGGGTAAATTTCCTCTGTAGCGCAGTTTTAGCATCACACAGCAGAGTTTGGGGGAGTGTCTCCGAGGTGACGCTTCCTTGTGTTCTTCTTCTTCCTCGTTTTCTTCTTCGAGGTTTATCAGGTAACAGCAAAATGACGCCTCACTACCGCCACCAATTGGTTGGAGAGAGAATTACAACGTCTGTATGAACAGTTTTTACGAGTACGAATGAAAGATAAAATTATTTTAAAATGTAATGAAATAATGACACTTATTTACAACGTTCACATACAAGTACTAATTAAAAAAAGAATTTAATTAAATTCTAAAATTAAACTGATAAAATCTATTTATTTAGAACTTTCACACACCAACAATAACAAAAAATAAAATGAAATTTAATATGGTGATGATGGTAATGTTAATCAGTGTGGTTTGTCTAAATATAATAATAATAATAATAATAATAATAATAA